TGAGCTCCAGCCTTCCTGATCTGCTCACAGGTCCCCTAATGGACTCTGTGCCTTTTCTTCCCTTTGGGCTTTTACTATGTTGTTTTCTGCTCAGAACGCAGCCTCCTCCCTGCCCATTCCCAATGTTAGCTCCTCCAGGAGACCCTTGCCAGAGTAGCCCCCTCCTCCAGTATCAGGAGCAGCTCCTCTCCTGCCCAGTTCCTGCTACCTGCTTCCCACTCTGCTGGGCCCTGTTTTGACTCCCATAGAAAAAGAGGAGTGTGGTGCGGTAAAGACCAGGGATGTTGGTTTATTGCCTCACTACTTGCTTCCAGCACCAAATACAAGCCTGGCACATTGCAGGAAGCCCATAAATGGCTGTTAAATTGGTGGATGAAGACAAGGAACCTCACAGGTCCCCAAAAGTCAACTTTCTCAGAGTTGGAAATATATAATTGGAATAAAACACATAAAAGTCTCCAGGGACCAAGGACACGACTCGACTGAGACACTGGTTGGTGGAGTCCATGGGGGATTTGGGGGACACATTCCTTCTCTAGAAAGGCAGCTTTTCTGGTGTTTCATGAGAAGCCAGAAATCTGGATTTTTATGGGCTGTATTCACTGTTTCAAGTTGGGTGATTGTGGCAGAGACACTTACTGTCCCTGGAATAACAATTGATGGCTCACAGTCTCCAGCCCTCTGCCATGTGACTAACTGCAAACAGGCCAGCTCATTTAAGCCGCTACAGTCTTGTAGCTTTCCTGTCCCATTCCATGGTGACCTTGAAAGTCACATGTCCCAATTGGTGTAGCTTCTTGATGGTCAGCCTGGGTCCCTGAATGCCTTTGTGGATATCAGAAACCTCTGCCAACCCACAGTGGATATGGACTGGGAAGGAGAAACCAATCTTTGCTGTGATAAGCCCCTGGTGTTTTTAGGGATTTGTTAGTACTACATAACTTAGACTATCCTGACTACTGTAGTAAATAATTCCAGTGGATAATGCAGTAAATAATTCCAAATTATTTCAATGGATACACACACACACACACACACACACACACACACACACACACACCCCCCGAGACAGAGAGACAGAGAGACAGAGAGACAGGGAAATAAAATATAGCTAGACGAAACACAGTTGTAAGACAGATGCCCTTAGTGGGGCTCCAGTTTGTGACTTCTGATTCACAATATGACTCAGTTTACAATACTTTCATTTTCCTATAGCATGTGAGGAATATGCTCATTTTGCTTTATGTAGTAGGAACACTTATAGGTGGACTTCTCTATAAGTCAAGGAGTGATTAGTTATTAATAGAAGATGCTTCCTACAGAGCTCTGGGCTGCAAGTTCCTAAAGACCTGTGTGGCTTCAGTTGCATGCTTTTTCCTCTCTGTGCCTTACTTTTCCCATCTATACAATGGGAATATTGGCCTTTGATGGGGGCTAGTTTGGTTGACAGTGAGGTGGGTGGTGGG